GCCCAACCGATCAGCCGGATCCTGAAAAACAAAACCAGTAATTACTGTCCTCAGTGCAGCTTAAAATCCTGAAATCAACAAACTCCCTGCTTTCTATTAACTAGTAAAGGTACAACTTCATCCAACAATTATGTCCTAAATGGCAAAATCCTCTGAGATGCCTTGGTCATAAGAATGCGTCATTTCAAGCGAAACTTGGTTCTTCAGTGCATTTTTTAAAAAATCTGAATGATAAGCTGGAAAGGAAAACAGCAACGCAGCACACACCTTGTGTTTTTTTCTTGCGCATTCTAGACATGCATGCCGTAACTTTGTTCAACATTACCTGCTAGTGACAGTAACATTCCAGTCTCTTTTTGTAATGCTTTTGATATCCCGCTACTGAAACAACTAATTTCTTTACGATTCCCCTAATTGCTTCAATGGTATATTGGTACCGGCACAAGTCAGAGAAGCCTTGTCAACAGGTGTCTGTTATGGGCACCTGCTATCCTAGCGTTACTTATTGAGCTTTTCATTAAAAAAAGATACTGGCGACGCACACCAAGCGGGTGCGATCACGCTTTTTGCAGTATCTCGTGCTGTAGTAAGATCGCTCGGGAACCCAATAGCTAGAATTTGTGACCTACTGGTCCTCAAGTTCAAGAAGTTTGTGCAACTATGCGGTAATTAGGCAGGGAACATTCCGGCAATTTTTCTGGTTCTCTTGCTAGCAATTTCCTTGCCAAAACATTCACAGAGCCGAAAGTGACCTGGAGGCATACCTGAGGGCTTGAGTCTGAAGTCTTTAAGTTGTGCGTGGGCTGGGAACATCTCTTTAAAATCCGAGCCTCCCAGCTTTCTTGGTTTCCGAGTTAACCGTCTCCCCGCCAAAAATTTTCACAGGCCTTACGTGAGATCCATGCATGCTTGGAGTCTGAGTTTGATAAATTTAGTTATATATGGGCTGGGAACATCCTCTTAAAATTTAAACTTTCCAGCTTTTCTAGTTTCCATATCAGCGATTTTCGTGCCAGGAATTCTCACGGGGCCATACGCAGAAATCAGGCACACCTGGGCGTTGAATTTGAAATCTTTGAGCTCTATGTGGACGGGGAATATAACCTCAAAACTTCAGCTTTCAAGCTTTTTTGGCTTCTGAGTTAGCAATTTTCCTGCCGAAACTTTCACCCTCTCTTATGCAGGCTCAGGACTTGCGTGAGGGTTGGCACCGCGATCCTGAGGTGCCACTTGGCGGGGGAACCCACTGGCAAAATTTTGACGCCGGAGCTTGCTTGGCTGCCAAGTTGTAATACCCGAACAGACGTGTGCGCATGCACAAACACACTCACACACACATAAACACACATGCACCGGGGTCGTCACAATATGCGTTTTTGCATTTGCATATAAGCAAAAACACATTAAAAAAGTTTTAGCTTTTGGCTTTCGTCATTCGACTTTTTTTTAAAAGACAGATCTACAGTACTCCTATTTGAAATTGAAGAGAGCCATCTTGAAAGAAAAGAGCCTTATCAGCATGCCTACTGCTACGTAAGGCATCACCGATCCAACTTCAAGAATAATTGGCAAACGCACGGGCTGCCCGTGCAAAGATGCGTTTTTTGCATAGTTCCCCGTAGTTTTTGTTGCTACTGGCACCTGCTTTTACGGCAAATGCTTCTAGCCAAACAAATTATGACTGGCCGGCAGAACTGTCCAAAAGTACCCCCTTAAAATTTCAGCTTTCTAGCTTCCTGGCTCCTGAGTTAGCAACTTACTGGAAAAAAACTTTCACGGGCCCGCACGTGCTTACCACGCATACCCAAGAGTTGGGTTTGCGCTGAATGAAACTTAGGAGACGGGGCATATCTTCTTAAAATTACAGCCCTTTAGCTTCTCAAGTACTTACCCAAAAAAAAAAAAAAAAAAAA